ACAGACAGACAGACAGACAGACAGACAGACAGACATCCTCACCTCGTACTTCAGCACAGGAAACCCTTCATCCTCTCTGCTGTCCTCACCAATCAGTCCTCTTCCTCCTCTTCCTCCTCTTCCTCCTCTTCAGGCCTCCAATAACCTGAAACACAGGACGGCAGGACAGACGGCTGTCAGCTACAGACACAGGCTAACAGACACAGACTAACAGCACAGACACAGGCTACAGACACAGGCTAACAGACACAGGCTAACAGACACAGACACAGGCTACAGACACAGACTAACAGACACAGGCTAACAGACACAGGCTAACAGACACAGGCTAACAGACACAGACACAGGCTAACAGACACAGACTAACAGACACAGGCTAACAGACACAGGCTAACAGACACAGACTAACAGACACAGGCTAACAGACACAGACTACAGCACAGCTAACAGACACAGGCTAACAGACACAGGCTAACAGACACAGACACAGGCTAACAGACACAGACACAGGCTAACAGACACAGGCTAACAGACACAGACACAGGCTAACAGACACAGGCTAACAGACACAGGCTAACAACACAGACTACACGGCTAACACAGACACAGACTAACAGACACAGGCTAACAGACACAGACTAACAGACACAGGCTAACAGACACAGGCTAACAGACACAGACACAGGCTAACAGACACAGGCTAACAGACACAGGCTAACAGACACAGGCTAACAGACACAGGCTAACAGACACAGGCTAACAGACACAGACACAGGCTAACAGACACAGGCTAACAGACACAGACACAGGCTAACAGACACAGGCTAACAGACACAGGCTAACAGACACAGGCTAACAGACACAGGCTAACAGACACTAAGGGGTTAATATGTAGAATAAATGGGAATTAAAAGGATAAAAAGACGAAAGCAGAGAAAATGAAGTGAACCTTTAAATAAACTCTTTTCCCTCAGCGTCGTCTGCAGGAACAGCCTGTCAGTGCCGGGTGAAGCCATTAGCCTAATTAGACCAAAGCTACTCGTTAGCATTGCTCATTGATTGAGGCCTGTAAGCTGCGACATCAGTCACTGCCACACTACAGGTGAGAAGCCCCGCCTCCTCACCTGTAGAAGCCAATATCATCCATAAAGACAGTGTATACAGGATCAATATCATCCATAAAGATACAGTGTATACTGATCAATAACATCCATAAAGATACAGTGTATACTGATCAATATCATCCATAAAGATACAGTGTATACTGATCAATATCATCCATAAAGATACAGTGTATACTGATCAATATCATCCATAAAGATACAGTGTATACTGATCAATATCATCCATAAAGATACAGTGTATACTGATCAATATCATCCATAAACCACCATGAGCAAGCTGGGTGGGAGAGAGAGAGACAGAGAGAGAGACAGAGAGAGAGAGAGAGAGAGAGAGAGAGACAGACAGACAGACAGACAGACAGACAGACAGACAGACAGACAGACAGACAGACAGACAGAGACAGACAGACAGACAGACAGACAGACAGACAGACAAGACAGAGAGAGACAGACAGACAGACAGACAGACAGAGAGAGACAGAGAGAGAGAGACAGAGAGAGAGAGAGAGAGAGAGAGTGACACTAATAGTGACTGATGATGATGATGAACATTGTGACCTCATACTCGTCGATAAACAATAATCAATGATCAATCTATTGAAACTGAGTCATCGATTAAAGAACCAGACTATATGAACCAGTGAGACCACCAGAACCAGACTATATGAACCAGTGAGACCACCAGAACCAGACTATATGAACCAGTGAAACCACCAGAACCAGACTATATGAACCAGTGA